CTCCTCCATTCTCCTCTTGGGATCTTGGGCATGCATGCACACGCGCCCGGCGTGAGTTTAAACTACTGGATCTGGGACTCGAACCGTGGTCGACTATGTGGGAATCCAGCAACATAGCCATTATGCTAACTGCTGGTCCCTCTCAGTTTATTCTTTTGTTTTTTTGTTTTTTTGGAGAGATTTTCACTGTAGGGCGCGTGCGCTCGCCAGACAGAGAGAGACATAGAGACAGAAAGCAAGAAATCACCCCCCAGGGGGGATGGTCACGCCGCAATCCCTTCTCCTCCATTCTCCTCCATTCTCCTCTTGGGATCTTGGGCACGCACGCACACGCGCCCGGCGTGAGTTTTAAGCCACCGGGTCCGGGACACGAACCGCGGTCGATAACGTAGGAATCCAGCGACATAGCCATTACACTAACTGCTATTTATTTCTCTCAGTTTATTCTTATAACCTGATTTAGAAAGGTGGACCACATGGTACAGAGATGTCAGAAGACTTGTGACAGGTCATGTAGTGAATACAGAACTAAGCTAAAGCCTGGTCTTCTTCACTGACCTAACAGTTCAGCACACTTCTACAATCCTGTATTTGTTTGCTAGGGCTGCCATAACAGAATACAACAGAGTGGCTGAAAAGACAGACCTTTCTTTTCTTTTCAATAGAATTATTTTGTTTAACTTTATTTATTTATTTATTTATTTATTTTAGTTTGACCAGAGAGGGATAGAATGAGAGAGAGGGAGAAAGGGAGAGGGAGAGAGAGAGAAAGCGAGAAAGCAACCCGTCAGGTCTGGAACTCAAACCACAGTCAGCCGTGTGGGAGTCTAGCACCCTTAACCACCATGCCACTTTGTTGGCCCCCAGACCTTTGTTTTCTCACCATGCTGGACTTCGAGAGTCCAAGATAAAGGTGTCAGCTGGGTAGGCCTCTCCTCCAGCCTTTCGCCTTGTCTTGCAGATGGCTGCCTTTCACTGCCTCCTCACATGGCCTTTTCTCTATGCATGCACATCCTTGGTATCTCTCTTCATGTGCACAAATTTCCTCTTCTTATAAGCACACCTGGGTTAGGGGCCATCCTAACAGTCTCATTTTAACTTCATTATCTTTTTTTGCAAGCCCTAACTCCAAATATAGACATATTCATAAATACTAGGGGTTAAACTTATGGATTTGGGGGGAGCATGATTCAGCCCACAACACTAGTATCAACATAATATGTGAGATTGCTGGAGTCTATTGCAGATTTAAGAACATTCTAGTCGAGGGCCAGCAGGTGGCGTAGTGGTTAAGATGCAGGATCCCTCATAGTTGGCTCTGCAGTTGGAAGCCCAGACCCAGTGGTTTGAAAACACACTGACTGTATGTGCCTGTGTGCCCAAAATCTCAACAGAAGAATGGAGAAGAAGGGATTGCGACATGGCTATCTGTCTGGGAAATGATTTCTCACTTTTCCTCTCTCTCTGTCTCTCTCTGGTGAGTGCATGTGCTCTATAGGGAAAAAAAAGAATTTAAAAAAACAACTTTTTTTTGAGAGATTTTTGCTATAGAATGCATGCGCTCACCAGAGAGACAGAGAGAGACAGAGAGAGACAGACAGAAAGTAAGAAATCACCCTCCCAGGGGGTTGGACACACTGCAATCCCTTCTCCTCCATTGTCCTCTCAGGATTTTGGGCATGCATGCACATGCACCCGACATGAATTTTAAGTCACCAGCTCGGGGACTCGAACCATGGTCAACTACATGGGAGTCCAGCAGGTAGCATGGTGATCTCATTTATTTTTCTAATGATGGAAAGTCTCACCCCAAGATCGTGATTATTTGTCTCTTAGCAGAGTATCTTATCATATTTGAAATTTTTTTCCCCCTTTGGAGAGGTTTTTTCCCCCTTTGGAGAGGGGATGGCCATGTCACAATCCCTTCTCCTCCATTCTCCTCTTGGGATCTTGGGCACCCATGCACACACGCCCTGCATGAGTTTAAACCACGGACTTGAACCATGGTCGACTACATGGGAGTCCAGCGACATAGCCATTACGCTAACTGATGGTCCCCATATTTGACATTTGAATAAATCATTTTGAACACTCCTCTCCATTACATAACAACAGCACTACTATTATTATCACTGTTATATTTTTGCTAGAAGGCTTGTGTGCTTGCCAGAGAAAGACGAAGAAAGGGTGAGAGGAGAAAGCATCCCCCATGGGGAATAGTCATACCACTTTTGGGATTTGGGGTATGCCAACACATCCACTGGTGTATAACAACACTATTTCCTTTTTTAAAAAATGTTTTAGAGAAATTTTTGTTATAGGGCATGTGCACTTGCCAGAGAGACAGAGAGGCAAGAAATTTCCCCTCAAGGGTGTTGGCCTGCCATCCTCTGTGCTTCTGTCAGCTATGCTATAGGCCTATCCCTCTGGACTTGCCAACCACCAGAATCATGAGTTTTGCACTTAAACCTCTATTCTCTTAAATTCACCCAGTCTCAGCAATACAATAGCAAACTAAGACAATCTGTAACATAAAGTTAACAATCTTAATCATTTTTATAAACTTTAAAAAAATAATTCTTTATTTAATTTTATTTATTATATTTTAGTTTGATGTAGGGCACATGTACTCCCCAGAGAGAAACACAAGAGAGAGAGAAAGAAAATGAGAAAGCAAGCTGCCAGGTCTGGGACTCGAACCGTGTTTGGCCATAAGGTCCAGCACCTTAACCACCATACCACCTGCTGGCCCTTCTTAATCATTTTTAAGTGTACAGTTCTATAATGCTATTATATTCACATGTACCATCTCTAAAACTTTTTCATCTTGCAAAATTGAAACTCTATATGCATTAAACAATGTCCATCTCTTCCCCCTCTTAGCCCCTGCCAACCACCATTCTGCTTTCTGTTTCTATTAATTTGATTACTATAGATAGATGTATACAGTTGTTGATTTTCAGTTTATTCAGCTTTTTTTTTTGGGGGGGGGAGGTTTTTGCTATAGGGCGCGTGCGCTTGCCAGACAGACAGAGACATAGAGACAGAAAGCGAGAAATCACCCCCCGGGGGGATGGTCACGCTGCAATCCCTTCTCCTCCATTCTTCTCTCGGGATCTTGGGCACCCACGCACATGCGCCCGGTGTGAGTTCTAAGCCACCAGGTCCGGGACACGAACCACGGTCAACTACATGGGAATCCAGCAACATAGCCATTATGCTAACTGCTGGTTCCCCAGTTTATTCAGCTTTTTATTAGTTAGGCCAGAGTAACAACTTCCAACTCCTTATATGCCAAACCAGAAGCCAGGAGTAAAGAACTTATCTTTGGGGCCTGCAGGTGGCGTGGTGGTTAAAAGTGCTGGATTTACACATGGCCAACCATAGTTTGAGTCCTGAACCTGAGGGCTGGCTTTCTCGCTTTCCTTTACTCTCTCTCTGTCTCTCCCTCGTCAAGCTAAAAAAATATATATATAATAAAAAATTAAATAAATAATTTTTAAAAAGAATTTATCTTTTAAAAGCAGAAGCCTACAAAATGATTTTAAAATTTGTATGGAGGACTACCCTAATAGCCTAGTGGTTAAGGGAGCCAGATGCCATATGGCTGTTCACAGTTCGAATCTTGGCCCTACTGGATAGAAAAACATGCTGAGCATGTGTGCATATGTGCCCAAAGTTCCAACAGAGTAGAGAAATGGAGGAGAAGGGATTGCATAGTGTAGAGCTCTATACCGGGAGACCAGACACTTGTTTCCCTTAGGGCTTGACTATAAGCAGCCCATTACTTTGAGCAAGTTTTCATCTGGCTGGGGCCACCATTTTTTTCCACCCATAAAAAAAGAGCATTAATTGGGTCATTGTTCCAGTCCTTCCACCCAATATTTTCTTGTTCTATTTTGATAGTTTTACAGAATGAAGAGTAGTTTTTCAGAAAAAAGAGGACAGTATTGGGATCATCTTTGACCTGTTCGATTGGAAATAATAGCTTCCACTGAGGTACAGAAAGTTGGAAAACTTTTATTCAGAACAAGTAAGTATACTAGCAATAATATCTCTGCCTGGTTATATAGTTTGTTAGCAAATACTGATGATATTGAATGGAAAATCAGTCCATGCCCTCCTCTGACCATGTGGTATTTCCAATAAATGTTCTGTTGTTTGGCAAGTTCAGTTATAAATATGGCCACCTATGATTGAAGGCAGAATCACAGTTAGGATTGGCTTTACACAAAGAATGGCTAAGCGTATGTTTTAAGCTGATGGTTTTCTGCCAGCCCTTGCTCAGTCATATGGCAGAGAATTATACCAGTTGAGAACATTATGGCATCCAAAATGTGGCTCTTTCCACTTTTATGACTAAGAATAGATTTGTGCCAGCCAATGCTGTAGCCACTAGCCACCTGGGGCTATTTAAATTAAAATGAAATAAATGTGAAGTCCAGTTGCATAGTCACTCTAGCCACATTTCAAGTGCTTAGCAGCCTCATGGGGTACATGGTTACCATAATGGATAGTACAAATATTACCAGTCATTACCTTAGAAAGTTCTGCTGTAAAGCTCTGATCTAGACAGATATTCTGAAAAGAAGGAGAAATGAATGAATAAGAAAACAGCATTTTTTTTCACCTTCTTACTTAACAATCAAGGAATATGTTGATACACACACGTGGAGATGCACCATGGTTAGTAAGAAGGCCATCTTACAGTTCTTTTTGAAAAATATTTATTTGTTTGTTTGTTTAATTTATTTGTTATTATTCAGTTTGACCAGAGAGAGAGAGGGAGAGTGAGAAAGCAAGTCACCAGACTCAGGACTCAAACCACAGTCAGCATGTGGGAATCAAGTGCCTTAACCACTATGCTACCTGCCGGCCCTGTCTTAAAGCTACATGATGTGGCTATAATATCATTAAAATAAGTGTTTATTTTAGAGCATGGTAAGTGATAATGCTATCTAGTTTTATAGCTATATAGCATAGAGATATACCCTGATTAGTTATATGAATATCATACTGTTATATAGAGAATAGATTACAGGATGTGTATAAACATATAGTGAACTTTTTTAAATTTTAAAACATTTTAATGTATGTAACTTACTGAACATTATTCAATGTTACAAACTTTTTTTTTTTTGAGAGCTTTTTTCCATAGAGTGTGTGTACTCACCAGAGAGACAGAGAGACAGAAAGTGACAAATGAACCCCCAGGAGGGATGATCATGCTGCAACACCTTCTTCTCCACTCTCTTCTTGAAATTTTGGGCACATACACACACACACTCACCTGGTGTGCATTTGAAGTCACCAGGTCTGGGACTCAAAATGCAATCGACCATGGAGAGTCCAGTGCCTTGACCACTATGCCACCTGCTGGCCTCAATATTGTGAACTCTTTTTTTTTTTTTTTTTGGAGAGTTTTTGCTATAGGGCGCGTGCGCTCACCAGAAAGACAGAGCGAGACAGAGAAACAGAAAGCAAGAAATCACCCCCCAGGGGGGATGGCCACACCACAATCCTTTCTCCTCCATTCTCCTCTCAGGATCTTGGCGCGCCTAGCATGAATTTAAGCTGCCGGGTCCGGGACTCAAACTGTGGTCGACTACATGGGAGTCCAGCGACATAGCCATTACGCCAACTGCTGGTCCCAATATTGTGAACTTTTAAAAGAGAGAATGTGGGACCAGCAGTTGGCATAATGGCTATGTCGCTGGACTCCCACGTAGTCGACTGTGGTTTGAGTCCTGGACCTGGTGGCTTCAAATAATGCCAGGTGCATGCGCGTGCGTACCCAAGATCCCAAGAGAAGAATGGAGAAGAAGGTACTGCAGTATGGCCATCCCCCTTGGGGGGTGATTTCAGAGAGAATGCATCAGTTTGTTCATTTTATAGCCAAAGAAATATAACTTCACAAATGTTTGTGTTATGACCCTATGCAGGTCTATAGGTATTTTTTTTTTTTTGAGAGATTTTCACTACAGGGCGCATGTGCTCGACAGACAGAGAGAGACATTAGAGACAGAAAGTGAGAAATCACCCCCCAGGGGGAATGGTCACGCCACAATCCCTTCTCCTCCATTCTCCTCTCGGGATCTTGGGCACGCACGCACACGCACCCGGCGTGAGTTTTAAGCCACCAGGTCCGGGCCGCGAACCGCGGTCGACTACGTGGGAGTCCAGCGACATAGCCATTACGCTAACTGCTGGTTCCCTATAGGTATTTTTGAGCCTACATTTTCTTCAGCTATAAAATGAAGATCATAACAAGATACAAACTTGGAGGTTGTATCTCTAGAGAGGATGTAGAAGCCAAGAGAACAGATGAGACCCCAGAGGGAGAGCAATGGGACTCCACTAAAGGACATGTAGACAGAGAGAGATGAGGCAACATTCCATTGAGGTTAGCAGTAGAGGTCTGACAAGGTGAAAAGGGAAGCGCTGGTGGGCACCAGGTGGCACTTGGACCACCTGATGATGATGCATTTTAGACCTGACAGGCTTTGAAGTTTTGTGGGGGGAGCACATTTACTCTACAAATCAGCCAAGAAGGTTTGAAAGCCAAGAGTGGCCTAATCCAGGAAGAAAACCAGACAAGAAAATGTCTGAGAGTGAAAATTCAGGAAGATAATTATTTGAGTTCTCAGGGACACAGTATGGGTATAATGCCTGGGTAGAGACTGGTCTGTATTTAAGAGTTCAAGCTTGCAGAGGCAGACACAAAGATGACTAGGAGAGGTGAAAAGCTTAGATCAGATACAGACCACTGTTTTGCAGTGATACTTTTCAGAAAAGACTCAAGTCATGAGAAAAAAACAAACAAAAAAACAAAAATACAGGGAACCAGCAGTTAGCGTAATGGCTATGTCGCTGGACTCCCACGTAGTCGACCGCGGTTCGCGTCCTGGACCCGGTGGCTTAAAACTCACACTGGGCGCGTGTGCGTGCGTGCCCAAGATCCCGAGAGGAGAATGGAGGAGAAGGGATTGCGGCGTGACCATCCCCCCTGGGGGGTGATTTCTCGCTTTCTGTCTCTATGTCTCTCTCTGTCTGTCTGGCGAGCGCACGCGCCCTATAGTGAAAATCTCTCAAAAAAAAAAAAAATACATGCTATTCCTTTGAGGGGTGCTAGCAGAATAATGTCTAAAAATAGTAGCTCCATGTGTTGAGCTATCACATTATATGAGATACTGTACCTGTATTCTGTGACAACTGTTCAAATGAGAAATGAGGGGTGTGTTGGAGCTGGCTCTTACTATTTTGTGAAGTCTGATGTGAATTTTCAGGATTCTGGTAAGCCAGTTGACATATGTTGATAACTTGAAATTGCCCATGTGGAAGTATTTACACCATGGGATTAGTAGATGCTACATGTTAGGCCCTTCCTCCCCAGACAGCCGGCTTAGGCTTATGTAACACTTACTAGCACATCACGAGGGCAGTCTCAATAGGTCTAGTAACTTGCCAGCACTCCACAGATGGTGGCAATCAGCAAATCCCAGCCCAGTCTCCATACAGTAAATGCTGCAGGCTTACCACTGTGACCTCACCGGAGACACTTTCATATTGAAGGCAAGATTATTCACCTTACTTTGTCACCAAAACCACACCATCATGATTGCAAGGACCCCAAGACTAGAAATGTGGGACTTTGGGACCAGCAGATGGTGTAATAGTTATGTTGCTGAACTCCCACACAGTCGACTGCAGTTTGAATCCTGGACCCCGTGGCGTAAAACTCACACAGGGTACGTGTGTGTGTGTGCCCAAAATTCTGAGAGGAGAATGGAGGAGAAGAGATTGCAGGGTGGCCACTCCCCCTGGTGGGGTGATTTCTCACTTTCTGTCTCTCTCTCTGTCTCTCTCTGACAAGCACATGCCTCCTATAGCAAAAATCTCTCAAAGAGAAAGAAAGAAAGAAAGAAAGAAAGAAAGAAAGAAAGAAAGAAAGAAAGAAAGAAAGAAAGAAAGAAAGAGAAAGAAAGAAGAAAAGAAAAGAAGATAAAAGAAAAGAGAATGAGGGGCTTTGCAGAGGTTTTCTTGAGAATTTAAACATTTGGTATTTCCAAAACTTGAGATGGGCCTAAAGGAAAAATTTGCAAGGTCCTCATGCTCTGGCAACAGAGGCCAAAATGTTCATATTATGTAAATAAATAACAAATATCATATTCCCCCCCATCTCCTTTAGTGAATTTTATAGACGAGAATCGTCAAGACCTCATTCAAAGGATGGGGATGACTGTTATAAAACAAATTACGGATGATCTGTATGGGTGGAATGTTCTGAATCTTGAAGAAGCCGAAACGGTTTACTGCGAGAAGGTTGAGCAGGATGCTGCGAGAAAGATCATTCCCATGATTCTGAAGAAAGGTTCCGAGTCCTGTAACCTCTTTCTTAAATCCCTTAAAAAGTGGAACCCTCCTCTATTTCAGGACTTGAATGGACAAAGTAAGTATTGGTTTGCTTGCATCTGTTGCTAGAAATATTAGGTTGTCAGAAAAGTCATGATACATTTTTGCATAGAAAAACATGTCATGACTTTTCCAATAACCCAACAGAATAAACCATGAAGAGGATTCACAAGCCCCATCACAAAGCTTCTGCCTTCCTCCCTCTTCATATCACCCGGCAGTGGGCTTTGATTCATGCTAAAGAAAAGTTTAGACACTATCAGAACTTGCTGGTGAAGGCAAGTAAGTAAGCTCAGGGCCAGGGAATATATGACTTACGATCGTGGCACTTCAAAATACAACTGGACGATAAATGCCCTGATGATTCTCATGCCACCCATGGGTGAGTGGTCCACTGACCACCTACTCCCTGATTCAAGCATCCCAGTAAAGAGAGTCTGACTGACTCAAGGAGAATTATTTTACTTCTCATAAAATACTGATTTTGTTTTTTCAGCTACAAATCGTGTCATGACAGATTTTAATCGAGGTTAAAAGTTTCTCCTGCTGGGAACCAGCAGTTAGCGTAATGGCTATGTCGCTGGACTCCCACGTAGTCGACCGCGGTTCATGTCCCGGACCCAGTGGCTTAAAACTCACGCCGGGCGCGTGTGCGTGCGTGCCCAAGATCCCGAGAGGAGAATGGAGGAGAATGGAGGAGAAGGGATTGCGGCGTGACCATCCCCCCTGGGGGGTGATTTCTCGCTTTCTGTCTCTATGTCTCTCTCTGTCTGGCGAGCGCACGCGCCCTACAGTGAAAATCTCTCCAAAAAAAAAAGTTTCTCCTG